TTTTTTTTTTTTTATATGTATGGCAGCTTATGTTTCTTTTTCGTTTTTGTTCTTTTTTATTTTTTGCAGGTATTTGTTGTGGCAGTACTTGCTATCTTTCCTCTTGTGCCTAAGAATCTGTCAATACGGGCATACCGGCTTTCCCTCATAGGGACTGCTTGTTCTTCTCTATATTCTTTGTATTCAACATATGGGGTAACTCTTCTTTTTATAGTTTTTTAATGAATTGTTGGTGCATGGATTTATTTTTTACAGCATCAATGTACTAGTAATTGATAATTATTTGCAGAAACCTAGAGCATGGAATATGCAGGCTTTGCAAGTTTGGTTTCAATCAGTGGTGGTTACCAAAGATTTTATCTACTCCATCTATTGCCTTACATTTGTCTCCTCACATCTGTGCCTCAAATGTTTGTATTACTGCAGTTCTGCTTTATTAGTTTCTTTGCCTTATATTGTTAATCTATTCTGGGCTTTTACTGTCCATTGCACATAATTTGCTGATGTTTGATATTGGCAGTCGCTCTAATTCCCATTTTGGGTTGGGCCCTTGAGCATGTTGCAAAGTTTCTGAGGCGCAACTTTAGCAGATCCACTTTGTATAGGTAAAGAAGTACGGATTTCTTACATCTATGGTACAATGTTGTATGTTGGTCATTTATTTCACATCCTTCGTGGGAAGATGGCCATGAAAAAGGATTAAGTAATTTAGAGAAAAAGAATTATTTAGATGCATTATTTGAATAGTGAGGTTTTATGAAGAAATGATAATGATGGTTATCGTTATTGTTCAAATTCTAGCTGCAGAAAATGAAGTCTGAAACACTCCTCTTTCCCTGTCTTTTAGTAAAAGCTATATCAGATGGGTGTGATGTTGCTTCCTGGAATTGTGAATTCACGAATAAAAGCTCAATTTTCGGGTCAAATTTGTAATTCATGCTGTAAATTTGTATATTGCGAACATCATTGCTGCTGTGATTATGATGTTCAAAATGATACCATATATACATCTGAAACAATGGTGTGAAGCAGAAAAATTGAGCGCTCAAATATACACTAGTAAGCACAAATAAATGTGACCTATAAGCTGGCTCGGGCACTTGGTAAAGAGAAAAGGAGATGGAGTGGGAGAAATTGAGATAAAATTGCGTAAACCAACTGGAAATTATTTCTGAAGATGTAGTTTTTATTAATATTCTTTTCGTCATAGACAGGTAGGGTGATGCTGTATTACTTCTTTCTTGGATGCCTGCAGGAAATATTTGGAAGAGGCATGTGTTTGGGTTGATTCAAATGCTACAACCCTTGGCATTCTATCCTCACAAGCAGAGATTGGAGTTGGGTTCCTTCTGATTTTCTCTCTCTTCTCGTAAGTACCTCTTCTCAGTTCCCACATTTATTCATTTCTGTACTCAATCATCAACCATTTATAATTCAAGAAAAAGAAGTTTGTGTAATTGTTTTAAGATATCATCTTCCTTGACCTATATTTCAAAATGCAGGTGGCAGCGCAATATTATACAGACATTTATGTACTGGCAGGTGCGTGTCGCTTCTCTGATTTTAAAATATGAAAAACTTTACATTTTCACGTGACATTATTTCGTGGCCTTAGAAATATGCAGTGAGAGTGAAAGTGAAGCTGCCCTTTGTTTTCTACCTAGATTATTGAGTCTGTTGTGCAGTTTATACTTTATGGCTCATTCGAGATATTTGGCTCGGTTCTTGTATGATTTTCATATCCTTCAAGAGTTATTACAAATTTTAGGCTTGTTCTTTGATCTGAAAATAGCTGTTCAAGATTGGAAATTATAAAATCTGGTGTCATGGTTCTGGCCATTTATAACCTGTTGAGTAGATATATGATTTTTGTTGTCATTGAGCCATTTTGT